GTCCCTCCACTGACCTCCTAAAAAAATGCAGCCTGGACTGTGTTGTCATCTCTGGGTGAAGGCCTGGGAGTCAGTGACCTCCCCGGTTCTCACCCAGGTCCGATGGTGGATCGACAGTGAGTCATGAGCCCTTTTTGGACATCTCGTTTCCTCTGGGAAAGCTGATCGGCCATTTCTTCATCTTTTGATGAAAGATGCTGAGCCGAGGTTGTATCAGCACTTTTGCCCCAGAGGTTAAGTCAGCCTTGAAAAGGTGCAGCTCCTGAAGTCGACCCCAGGGGTCGCTGTGGAGACGCAGAGTCCCTCTGGGAGGTCAAGTGGTCCCCACCTGCCTGCAGGGCCCTCCAGCTCCAGTGCCCAGCCTCCAGGGGGGTGGAGGAGTCCTCCGGAGAGGCTCGAAGCAGGCCAGCCCCACTTGGCAGCCGAAGCTGCCCAACGGCCTCAGTTATAAACAGTGTATTTCTTTGAGGGTTTTCCCTAGTCCTTGAAAAGTAAAAGAAAGAACAGAGAGGAAATCCTGACAGAGTATGTGGCCTAAGTTAAATGTAACCACAATTAGGCACTAGAGTTAGTACAAGCAATGATGCAATAGCAACGAAGGAATGAAAGTTGGTCTGTTGTTTATTAATAACTCAGTCTTTGTGGGAGTCAAAGGGGTTCAAATCTGCCTTTGATCTCCCTCCCTCCCTCCCTGCTTCCCTCCCTCTCTCTCTGTCTCCCTCTGTGTCTCCTTCTCGCACACCCCCACACAGAGAATCTTAAAAAATAAAATCCCTGACCATCAAGCGAAAATACTACTGTGTTCCAGCAACTGCTAATATTTTCCTTCACTGGGCAACGGGCCCACAGTCCAGCAACTTGTGCACAGAAAGACATATCCCTGAACAGAATCTCAAATCACACTCCCCCAAAACACGGTGCTACTGGGACTCATTCTACGTCCCACGGTCTCACTCGGAAAATGACGGGGGAAATAGGGAAGGACATTGTTTGGTGATGAATGTGGAACATTCATGTGAAACAATGAGAGAGGGAACCTCGCTGTGATGCTCCGGGCTGTGTATTTTAGTCCATCTAATTCAATGTGATGAACGCACCAACACGGCCGCTTACTGCCTTCGGTTGCCTGACTCGGACAATCCGCTCTCGGTCCACATGAACTGCTTATTTTCTTTGCGAGGAAAACCCAAAGTAACTTCTCACTTCTCTTTGTTCTGATTAACCACACTTGCCACTGACCGAGGTTCCCAATGGGTCCCCACCCATTCCTTAGGCTAAATGAATGGGAAGCTCGGATGCTTCTAATGTAGGCGTTTTAAGAAAATCACAGTAAAGCACACAGTATACAAAATGGTCCGATTCAAGCTCCTATTTAATTGAGATAACTTTCTGATTATAACCTCTGTTCAGCGCTCTCATTTTAATGTCCTTTTGATCATAAAGCTATTTTATGCCTAGGTGATGACTTTTAAAATGGTACCACTAGCAGAATTCAGTAACCCGAAACAAATGTCAGGGTAGCCGGGGCTTCTCAGCGTGGGCACTACTGATGCTCTGAGCTGGATTATTCTTTGATATAGGGGCCGGGGTGCAGCTGTCCTGGGCATTCTAGGGCCGTCAGCAAAATCTCTGGCCTCCACCCACTAAATGCTTGTAGCGCCCCTCCACTCCCAGTCAGGACAACCGAAAATGTCAAATGGATCCTGAGGGTGTGTGTGTGTGAAATCACCACCGTCAGAACCACATCAAGGGCCTGATTAGCTACAATGAAAGAGGGAGAGGAAAGATAGAAAATGAAACTTTTTGTCTTTTTTTTTTTTTACTGCCTGAGCCTCTACAGATTTCAACTGTCCATCATTTGGCACCTTCTCTGGTTAAGGAGGTTACTCTTGCTAAATCTCTACAGCCTTGTGCAGTGTCTTTTGAACAGATGTGTCTTGAACTTCAAATGGATTGTCAAAAGGACCCAGAAACCCACCAATTCCCGCTGGGCAAACGATCGGTAAACCTAAGCATCACTCCACTTTGAGCCTTAAACTAACAGCATGTGAGAAGATCAATATGAATAAATTCAAAACTAATCAGACCCCCTTCTTTAAATGTTGACACAGTATTATTTATATCCCATAAATACCTTTCTCGACTAAAATTCATCCTAGGCGATTGGCAACGGGCCAGTTCTACTCATATTTACTGTATTTATATAGCACGCCCGGCCAAGGATAATATTTAAGACAAAAATACGCCTGGAGGCATATACAATATCTCTTATATTTTTACTTTTAAATTTCCACATTGCTAAAAATATTTAGTCTGAACCGTATAAAATGTCCCACAAAGGGCTATCGGCGATCCGTAATGATATATAGCTCATTGAGTATAATTAGAGCATATTTGCAATATTTGAGCTGGAGTCGCTCCCCGAACGCTAATAAGTTGGTGGTAAAAAATGAACCAGTGATCTTTCCCATGCCTTGGGCTCCGAGGCCTATGACCCTCGCCACGGAATTCACTGCAAGAAATGACGGGCACCCTCCCTCCGTGCAGCCCCAGCTGAAGACCTAAAGGGGGAGAGTTGGTCGAGGAGCCAACGCTGCACTTTCAACGCGCTCTTTTAAAATATGGTGGAGCGGTTTTCTCTCCTCCCCCCCTTTTTTTTTGGAACGGTTTTACTATATTCCAGTATAACTCGAAAGTGCTGGAAAATCAGTTAACCTACTTTCTATAAAATCGTCCACAGTCTTTGCACAGTGGGATCAAGTCTGCTGTTAATATGGTTCTCTGCTCCTGGACTTCCACACACAAGACGGGCTTTGACAAGCCTGTATTTTTGCATGAAAACTGACCGTATATATTTTGTTATACTGCGCTTATGAGAAGTTTTAATTTATTTGGTGGCTGGGGTGGGGGAGAGTGTCTGGGTGCTGATTTTAGCTCCCCATCCTCTGCCATCCTGATACCGTGAGGGTTTTTTCCAGTTTGGTGATGACCGTGACCCTGGGTCAGATCATCTCCGCCCTCTGGACTGAAACACGCTTGAGAGAACAAAGAATTAACACCCTCTTGGGTAACCTGCTCTCTCCACGACTACACCTGTCCATAACCATGAATTCAGGCCTCCTCTGTTAAAAAGTGCCGGCAATGCCTTAGCAATTTTGCAGGGAAATGCACACAACGGATGGCGTGTCCGGGTTCTGCACAGCTAACCCCCTTGCCCGCCTGCCCAATACCAGTGAAGCGGTGCACGTGCTGGAGAAAGCAAACTGGACCCAGCCCCCTGTCCCCTCTCGCTGGTTTTGGACTAATTACAATGAACTTTTCTTGCCTAATATCTCCTTGGCTCCACCCCAGAGAGAGAGAGAGAGCTTCACCCCCCGCCCCTGAAGGGAGTAGCAGGGGTGGAGAGTGTTCATCTCCCCTGGGGAGGACGGGGCCCTGACCACAGTGGTAAAACCATCCTTGCTGCCCGGATCCCCTGCGTCTGCTCTGCTCCCCAACGGGAAGAGTGGAGAGGTCGCAGGGAAGCCTGGGGTGAGCTATGCCGGCTGCGGCCAGGGGACAGGGCTGCGGCTTGTCAAACTAAAGCTGAAGATTGGAACAGAAAAGCTCCACCCCGCAGCGAGAACCTCTAGGGCCCGGGCTCGAGATGGCCGTGTTATCTATTTCGGAGAGACCCGGGGACTCTGTGCGGGCAGCAAGTATATAGGGCAGGGAAGGGGGTGGAGAGAAGAGCGCGGCCAATGAAACGTTTACAACTTGGGGTTTGGACAGACGCAAATGTCGAGGCTCGCTTTTTTTTTTTTAATTTTTTTTTTTTCTTTTTTCTACTTCTTCCTGGTATTTAACCCCCTCAGGTATCACTGGATGCTGCTGCTTTTCTTTTTCTTTTTCAAAAAGAATTTGGAACGAATTCTAAGCTAACTGTGCTTTCCACACACATCCCCCATCCCCACCCCAAAGAGCTCCCCACGAAATCCCTTGGCTCCCCCGGCTACTGCAGGCCAGCTGGTTTTGAGGACACTGCCCTCGGAGAAGCGGGGTTACAAAGCACACAGATGGGCTGTCTTCCACCCTCCCTGAGACTTGGGAAGGCACCCAAGTAACCGCAGGAGCCCGGGGCTCCCGGGGGAGAGAGAGGGACACCTAAGGAAAGCGCTCTGCTCCACCGCCAGCCTGGGAAGGCAGGGTTCAGGGGGTTCTGCAAAGGAAGGTGCGGCCAATCCCCTGTCAGCACCGTCAGAAACCAAGCTGCCCTCTCCACCGCCCCAGGGGGCACCCAAGGGGGCCCAGGTTACAAGAGCGGGCCTTTGGGGACTGTAAACACTTAGCTATGGCAATACGTTCAAGAATCCGGGGTTCGGAGGTAGGTTTTTGGAGGGGTTTCACCAAACATTTGGGGGGCGGGCTGGAGGGGGGTCTCGAGACAGTAGGGAAGCCTGGGGGAGCCCTTGGATAGGTGGGCAGGGAGAGGGGGCGCCTTCCCTCTGGGAGGCTAGCTTTGGGCCACTTTTTTTTTTAACCCTTCGTGCACCAGCTGGACCGTCTCCACGCCCATTGGGGGGGGGGNAAAAAAAAAAAAAAAAAAAGAAACCCACCAAGATTTCCCGGCCAAACTCAGCCCCGGGGAGCGCGTGGCCTCCCGGGGGACAGGGGCAAGCTGACGGCCAGCTGGTGTGGCCCAGCCAAGGATTTCAGGGGCGAGGAATGGAGAGGAGAGCGCCTTCGAAAGGGCGGAGGCGCCGGGGCGGGAGGAATGGAGAAGTGCACAGTTGGAAAGGCAGCGTCTCGGAGCCCAGCGTGCCCGTGACGCTCACGAGTGGAGACGGGGCGGG